GACGGTAGTGCATGTGTTATATTAACACTTTTATAGAGGCAACGCCAGGATTTATGATGGCGAAGCCAGGATTTCATTAAAAGTTTTACGATGATAACACTAGGATTTTATTGAAACTCATGAAGTCATGGCGCTCGGTTCTGTTGATAAAATAGCGACGCGGGTAAACTGATTCAGTATTTCGGTAAAGTTATCACTTAAACGTTCAGCTTTTAAATGTGAATAAACTGGCAACGTTGCTACTATAGCGGTATTTTCAGATGTACAAGTAAAGTGAGCATCACGCACTCAATTAAAACTCATGTTATACAAAAAATAATAATACAAAAATGCATAGTATATAGAAAATCACTGGTATTGAATGGATATGAGTCATTAAACGACTTGTACTGCAGGACTTTGAAGGTTTGACTTCAATTATTGCTTTGTGAGAAGAAACTAGATCTTCATAGCTAATCAATTGTTTAAAAATATCAACTTAATTTTTAATTTTTCTGCAAAATGATATTGGACTGAAAACAAGAGACTAAGGTTACAATGACTACATAATTTAGTTTTACGAATAATGAACTAATTAATTGTGAGGAATTTCTTATTCGCGTTAGATGAAAAGAACACATGCTGAGCTTTAGCGAAATATATCAATGAATAAAATATGTAATGAAATTTACAGCCATTTCATTATGAATGCCGTATATTTGTTGGGAGGAAAAAGTACACGAAATGCAAGCCTACTTGAGTACAATGAAATTTAATAGGAATCTTTAAAAGAATAAAAAAGTAGAAAACTAACAAGAAATACAAAATTTAAATTATTAGCAAGGATTCCCTACATGTTATCTGTTCATCCTTTTTATTTCCAGTGGGAAAAATGTTTTGTTCGATGTAATAAAACTTGAGGATACTGGAAACTAATTGGTAGTCCAGAACAACACGATTCCTGCGATGAATAAAAGAACGTTGATGGCTGGGGAGAAACGGAGTTCCGAAAAAATTGAAGTCTTAACAAAAGCATTCAAAAAAACTGTGCATATTTTGATGAGTTTTTGAAAAAAACAGTCGATGTCACAGTGAATTTGGTAAGAGCTCTATATATATCTTAGTAAATTCAATAAAATACCGTCGATGCCTTAATTAATTACAAAAAGAACTGTTATTTACAAAACTGTTAATTAAAAAAAATTCTTATTAACTAACAGTGTGAAAATCTCTGCGCATTACTCTACATAATCAATTTCTAATTTTAAACGCTGCCTTCGCGACATAATTCCATTGTCTCAAAGGCACTTGAGGCACGTCGAGGTTAAGGCTGATGGGAAGATTACACTCATTTTTTGACGCATTGAATACGAACTTTCTTTTAAAAAATGTCACCGTGGCGCGAGAGAAATATTCCGTGGGAGATTTGCCCGTAGATATCCCACTTATTTATGCTATTAGGCTTAGGTCCCTGAAAATAAAAATGATTGTATTTTCAATCGTCTTCGCTCAAGGCGTGGGCGATAATTTCGGTGATTTCTGCAGTGAATCCTTTAATCTGTGGGAGAACATTAATTCCTCATGTTATTACAGCTTCAATATTTCGTGGGATCGCACATGTAAATGATGATGTATTCAAAATTGCTGCTAATGAGAAATTTTCAAATATATTACGATTCCTACTAAGTAAATCAATGCAAAATATTATATATTATTAGTACCTACAATAATATGCAATTAAAAACATATATGTTTTTATCATTTCTACTAAACAAATACATTTTCTTCCTATTATTCATTTATATGCACGAAAAATGTTTCTTTGTCGAGCAATACAATCAATAAATTGCTTATCATAATTTGCAAATGACTTACGAATGATTAATTCAGATATGGCCGCTTAAAAACGTTGCGCAAGTTTCCGAAAAGTTATTAAAGTTTTAACTTTTCATATCGGGAGGCTCTATGTTCACGGTTCAAGTTTCATAGGAAAAAAGTGTCCGGGTGACAGTAGCTTGGAAGAAAAATTAAAAAACTAAACGAAGAAACTTCTAACTTCTGGAGTCAGTCAACTTTCGAGAGTTAATTGACAACGAGATATCGGGACTTTCCTATTCCGGTCAGAGGTTAAAAAATGGGTTGGCTGGCAAGCGAAAGAATAGAATTTGCGATACTTTCTGGGTATTTTTTGGCATTTTCTCCACAATTTACCGCAAAGAAACCTGGATTTTGTCCACACTATTGAATTGGAAACCAACGAGTGAAAATTTTCGCGCCCGATCCAGGTTGAGTTCTTCCAGAATCAGAGATGAGTGAGGCCAAAATCCAATTTTGATTTCGTGCGAAGTCCTTATTAAAATTGTTTGGAACTAGACAAATTTTCGGTTTAGAAATCGGAAGAATCACAATAAACATATCAATATTGATAATAAAACACAGTCGAGTCTCAAATAAAGTTTAGATGAAATTTACAGAAATCCTAAAAGAAAAATCTGTATTTGAATTAAAGCCATAGCTCCACATTTTAGCAAGATATTAATTTTGACTGGTGTTTCATCTCCTTACAACGTTAGACAATTAGTGAAAAATGTAGCTCTGAAGATATTCATATATATATACTGCTAAAGATGTCTCAGACCTTTCACTTTAGTAAGCCAATGCCGAAGTTAAGTTACTATAACAACTAATGAAATGTAGCGTCCAATGCCACAAGTTTTCCCCGACTATATATAACATAAAACTTCTAAAGAGCGAAACTTCAATTTCTCGAGCTAAAAACGTGACATTTACGCTCAAAATTGCAAGGTTTGTGGCATCGGCGCCCTCGAGGGCTTTGTAAACTTCACGAAACAACACCTCGCCCAAACCAGCCACTTTAGGACGTAAAAAATTCTCCCCAAAATGACCAAAGGTTTGAAGGCAAACCATTTTAGACGTGGCTGGAATCTGACGCCTCCAGATCTCTGCCACAAACGTCCCTCATAGAACGGCCTTCATTTTGCGACATTGCACCCGATGGCGAAATGGCTCGAAAATATGACGATGCTTTCGTATGTTGTAAAATATGATGTAGCTTTTGCATGTTGTAAAATATGGCGTAGTTTTCGTATGTTGTAAAATATGGCGTAGCTTTTGCATGTTGTAAAATGTGGCGTAGCTTTTGCATGTTGTAAAATCTGGCGTAGCTTTCGCATGTTGTAAAATGGAAGAATGGGAGCTGAAGGTCTGGGCCACAACCTCTGCATGTCTGATGAGGAGAATGACGCGAATGTCGCCACGAGCGCGACTAAAGTCTTCTAAGAATTGAAGATTTCCTGCTAATTTATTACGGCTTCAAGAAAGACCATTCAACGCTGGGGATGTTCCCTTTACTAGAGGAGCGGAGGTTCAGAAATGAAATGTAGCTGGATATTAGAAAAAATGTCGAGGAATTTTATAAAAGTTTGTTCAACTAGTGATGAAATTTTTATCCATGTCTGGGATATCAAGACCCAGTTAGACCGGCGGCATAATAGAGGCTAGCTACAAAAAATATGTCAATACATGGGCAATATGAGCCATTCATTTTAATTTGTATTAGTGCACACAAATACGATCGGTTAGAGAATTATTGCATCCTGTGTGAATATTGTTATTCATAGGTGGGTCATATAAGAGCTTTGATTAACTGAACCATGCACTAATGAATATATTATGACTCATAGTTGCTTTCAGCCCTGACATATACCTGGCTACTTCTACATTTTAAACCATTTTCCAACAGTCCACGGCCTTTCACGGAAAACTATTAGTTTAACACGCCATAAATTTATTATAATTATCCTCACATTTTAATCACTTCAAAATACCAACTCCATCACATTTTTCGTCTTTCATTACCTTTCAATAAACTGACATTCGTTAAGATTTTTTCACTGCCCAATTCGTATCTGTTTTCGTTTTTTTGCACGGTTTAAAAAGGTGAATGGGAAGAAACATTTTTCTGTAACCTCGTCTCTTTCTGCACGTGGAAGAGTCCGGCGTGTCGCCGGCGTCCCTCTGTGACCTGAACTAATTACGAAGATTTGTAGTCCAAGAACTGCACCTGCAGTCCACTGAGGCCACTACATTTGCTGTCCTCTGAGGTCACTGCATCTGCAGTCCACTGAGGCCACTGCATCTGCAGTCCACTGAGGCCACTGCATCTGCAGTCCACTGAGGCCACTGCATCTGCAGACCACTGAGGCCACTGCATCTGCAGTCCACTGAGGCCACTGCATCTGTAGACCACTGAGGCTCCTGCATCTGCAGTCCACTGAGGCCACTGCATCTGCAGTCCACTGAGGCCACTGCGTCTGCAGACCACTTAGGCCACTGCATCTGCAGACCACTGAGGCCACTGCATCTGCTGTCCTCTGAAGTGCCTGCACCTGCAGTCCACTGAGGCCACAGCATCTGCAGTCCACTGAGGCCACTGCGTCTGCTATCCTCTGAAGTGCCTGCACCTGCAGTCCACTGAGGCCACTTCATTTGCAGTCCACTGAGGCCACTGCATCTGCAATCCGCTGAGGCCACTGCATCTGCAGTCCTCTGAGGCCACTGCATCTGCAGTCCACTGAGGCCACTGCATCTGCAGTCCACTGAGGCCACCGCATCTTCAGTCCAATGAGGCCACTGCATCTGCAGTCCACTGAGGCCACTGCATCTGCAGACCAGTGGGGCCACTGCATCTGCAGACCAGTGGGGCCACTGCATCTGCAGTCCAGTGGGGCCACTGCATCTGCAGTCCACTGACTTCATTTTTCTACTATACTACACTAATTTCGTTCTATTTTCCTTTTCGTTTGTCACATCAATTTTCGCGAAACGAATTTTCGTGATGCGTAACTCATTGATTATCTGTTGTTTCGTGATGCAAAATATATTGATTATCTGTCATTTATTCCGTGGTCATTTCGCTCGTTGTGCCAATTCCACATCGCAGAAACTTGTTAGCAACAGTGACAGTACGAGGAAAATTTTACGCAATTAACATAGGAGCGAATTTATTGAAACTTAATATTATTGGTTAACATTTTATTTCGAACCATATTCAATAAAAATTTACAGCTCTTAGAGAAACTTATCGAGAACGTCTCATGTAATTCATCCTGCATGTCAATGTTACTGAGAATGCATCAACTAATTCTATAAGTTGTATAATGGATTATGGCCATCGAAAAGTATTTCTTAACGCGCATACATGCATTACTGCAGGACGGATATGTACAATAACTTGTATTGTTATAGGACGGATATGTACAGGAATTATTCGTCCTAAATGCTTAGTAAAAGTAAGTTTAATAAGAAGAAATAACTCATTATATAATACTAAAAAATATTTCTAATAAGAACAATTTGTATATGCGATTCTTATTTAAGTATGAGGCTTATAATAAACTAGTGAACTAAACTCGAGAAAAAAGTTTCTTCAGAGCTGAGTTAGATATACATAATAGAAGATACGTTGCTGAGGCAGCCTTTTACTAGATCTAATATTTATTATTTCAAGCTTATACATTTAAAAAGAGCTTGGAAATTCTCCCTTAAACAATTTAACATCATTCAATTATCCACGCTTACTCGTCGACAAACCAAATTTCTCCCGCAATGAAAAAAGACTTGAAATTTCCGTACCTGAAAAGCGCAATAATTTTTATATAATTGAGAATGTTAAGAACATTGGGATCAAGAAGGATAATAAGCTGCATTGTGATGATATTAACGAACAACTAACATTTGATTGCAAGAATTTTTACGAATAAAATGCAATTTTCTCTTTATAATTTGTCGGCAAACAGGCCTGTTCATCACAAATTATTCATCGAAACATATTTTCGGTTGTGTTTCTCACATTCGTATAAAATCAGTTTCTGAACTCTGAGCTTTTATCAGTCAAAGTTTTTTTATTTGTAAGTAAATATTCATTGTTTTTTATAAGATTCTCTCGCTTCAAGATAATTTAATCCTAAGTCATTTTTAAAATAGACATCGTTCAACTTCCGACAGCCCTTGTTGTACCAAGATGTTCACAATACGAACTATTTTAACTTATTCCTCATATACTATTAAGACATTTCCACATAGAACTTCTTAGATTATAAACACTGATTATAATATACTTCTTGTGCGAACCATAGATAATTTTTGAAATTGTAGCTATTTATACTCAACAAATATTCATACATTTTTTATCGAGCATATTTTCCACCTAAAAATTTTCGCCCTTGATTATATATCGTCTGTAAATTATGTGTGCATAATACCAAGTATTTGATCTCTAATAACTGTTCTAAGTGATTACCAACCCCTTAACTTCTGCACACACTGTCCTGACACTCCCTCCGTCAGCGCCGGCCAGAGATATTCTAGGTGATGACCACCCCCTTCTGCACACACGGCCCTGACACTCCCTCATTCAGCGCCGGCCAGAGATATTCTAGGTGATGACAACCCCCTTCTGCACACACGGCCCTGACACTCCCTCCGTCAGCGCCGGCCAGAGATACGTGTGGATGGTGGTCGTATCAGGGTCGGAGGTATGGAAACGCACGTGCAGGTTGTCATTGTAGGCACGGGACTCGTATTCGATGCAGTACGGGGGACTTTGGTTCACCAGTCCCCAGGCTACACGGACGCAGTCCTTGACGTAGCGCAGCAAGCCCTCGCAGGTCTTCAGGCCTGGGTAGTCGTAGAGCGTCGCCCAGATTTGGTGGCACACGTCCTATGAGATGGAAAATTTCTTGTTTAATGAGAATATTAGTGGCGAATATACTCTATATAAAGTCTGACATGAAAAATTCTTTAAAAATCATTTAGAAATCCTTTAAATTTTTTAAATAGGAAAGATAAATAGCATAGAAATAACCATAAACACAAAAGAAACTGTAAATTACAAACTATATTTTTCCTATTAACGATTATCAAACTGTAATAAACGTAGTTGAGCCTCATTTCATTCTGTAATGCATTGAATTTGATCAGATTGCGGAATATATTATCTATCAATCGCTTATGAATCCGAATTGATCATTTTAAAATGTACACCTTATAAATACATTATGCATGAGCAAGATTTTAATTTTCAAGTGGAGTAATTTTCATTGCAACATTATCAAGACGTGCGGCTTCTGTGTAATATTTCAATATAAAAGAACTGACTGAGATAAATAACAGGCTATTGGACTAAGAAGACAATTGCCTCTACATCGTCCCGCCTTAAGTCAAGAAGAGTCTCAACAGGTTAGCCTAGAACAGCTAAGACCCAAACTGTCATTTCGGATACTTCGTAAGGTCAAAGTCTCTTTATAGCTCAGGAAAAAGGCAATAAAATCTCTTGGATGTCGCCTCTCAAACAAAATTGTCGTGAATTGAAGTGCAATCGATCAATTTCAAGTCAGAGCTCAGGACCAATGTGGTCTGTAAAACAAGTCTGTAAATTGACGTACCGCCTATTGTCAGGAAAATAAAGGGCCTACGTTAGAAATACATGGTTTATTTGAACCATTAGTAGAATTACTGTCACTTTGGTCACGATTTAATGGATTAGCGCTGTTTCTCGATTTTTCTAGAAAAATCGAGAAAAAAAATGTCAGCACTGTTTTTCGATGTTCTCTAGAAACTAGTCTCAACATTCACGATAATGCGTGGCATTGTGTTCGTTACATTCTGTGGGTGATGATTAGAATAGAATAGAATAGAATAGAATAGAATAGAATAGAATAGAATAGAATAGAATAGAATAGAATAGAATAGAATAGAATAGAATAGAANAAATTGTTACAAAATATCACTCATTTTTTCAAAACTTTTCACATTGCATCTTTGGAACCTGAAGTCTGTTAAAGATTATGTGCCGGCACGCAACGCATTAAACAGCAACCCAACCACCAGAAAATAAATCTTTTGCTGGTCCGTTTCTGCGTAAAAATTGCAATTAAAGCAGCTCCGCTATTTTCGAGCGGTTCAATCGTTGGCCGTTGGTTCCACACATCGAATGCATCTGGTATCGTGGTATCAGATAAGGAATGAGGGCTATAGTACCTGTCTCTTATACACATCTAGATGTGTATAAGAGACAGGATATACTGTGTGTGATGTTCGGTGTGTGATGTTCTGTATGTGATGTTAATGTCTGACGTTCGTAAAAGATGTTTCGACGAGCATCATAGCGCAAAAGTAGATTAGATGAGCGTATGGTCTATTTTTTTATTTGAGCTTCATTTGGAGTAATTGAACTTTCCTCGTTCACTGTACGGTCTTTCCATTTTATATTTTTGTATATTTTTATTTTACATTTTTCTAATTTTGTCCGACGCAGCACCCAAAAAAATAATCTGTCTTTTTGTCTTAATTGTGGCTCATTTCCTCAACCACATCGCCAGCATAGATACACCATACGGCACTGGTACGCCTGGCAAAACTAGGTCAGGACGACCCAACCAAGGACAAAAAAAGCATCGCAATTTGGATAATTTTTCCCTTATTTCTTCGAGTGAGATTTATTCAGGCGCGTGTGGAGGAGTAATTTGGACAATTTTTCACTTATTTCCCGTAGTGATATTAATTTAGGATCGTGATGATGCGTACTTACCTCAACATTTTGCGTGAGATCGTGGCTGTCCACATTGGCCGTGATAACCGAGGCCATGGCCGCTTCCAGCGCCGATAAATCGCCCCCTGCGGCCAAACCTTTCACAGAATTGGCCAGAGCGACAGGGGAGTCCGGGTGACCGGATTTTGAGTCCGGGAGCAGTCCGGGTGATCGCAAAGCAGAAACTATGGAGGGCGGGAACGCCGGATTGTTGGATGAGGGCACCTGCAGGATTTTGCGGACGTCCTGCCGGAGCGCGGATGCGGTGGCCGTTGTGGACCGGAACGCCAGCTGTTTTGAAACAGAATAATGCAATAGCGCTCAAAATTTCGTAATCAGAAAAAACTTCATTCAGTAAATAAAAAATACGAAGAGTTATTGCGAGTAATTGCAACGAATCGAGTAACATGGAAACTTATTTCTTGTGTTAAAGACTTGAATTCAGATTCAATAAAATGAAAAGATCGAAAAACAAATCAAGTATGACTGAGCTTTATATCAAGATTGATTGTAGAGAAACTCTCGAGCGCGAGTCCTAATTAAAAACACTAGGTAAAATGGCTTGTTATGAAATTTTATTTTCTTTATCCAAGACCAAAAGAATTCTCCTTCATCATGACTACAAATTTTGTTTCGCAATCATTTACTCTATTCTATAGTTCCTTGTTCCATTTCACATTAATATTCTCCTTGTGAACCGGTCAAATGGCTCAAATGTGCACCTTTTTTTTCTTTTTACCACGTTTTTTTTCTCTTCGCTTCGTGTCCGTCTGTCTGTCATCAAAAATTCAAACCTTAATTTATAGCACTTCTGAAGATCCTAGAAACTTGAAATTTGGCATGCTTGCTTATGCTGCCTAACAATTCAAGATTTGATCATCAGAAGTAATAAGTTTATAGTTGAAATCGTTAAATTAATTGACTGACTTTTGTATGGATAGAAAAAAATTCACGGTTGGAAATCGAGTTTTTTTTTTTTTGTCGAAAGATCAGACTTTTAGTGTGCCGTGCTGCTGAGATTTTCTTTTAAATATTAAAAGTATTGTACTAAAAAGTAGAACATAAATAAATATGAAAAACATCTTTTAAAACCATGTTTTTCTGGTGGTTACAAGACTAAAACCAATGAAATAAAACAAATAAAATAACTTTTAAAAACCACGTTTTCTTAACGGACAAAAAGGAAACATCAACTTTTTCAGTGAGTTGTCCTAAATTTTATTCTTGACCTAAAATGAAGTCTAAAGTTTCTTTTTTCAAATCTTATGCTGATGAAACACAAAAAAAACGTGGGCGGGCACTGTGAAGATCTAAATATCATTTTGAGGAGCTACAGACTAACTATTATGGTAATGGATGGTAACTATTATGGTAATGGTAAACTTGGTAATGGATGTATCTTAAGGCCCGCCCCACGTTTTTTTGTGTTTTCTCAGCATAAGATTTGAAAAAAAAATAAATTTTAGACTTAATTTTAGATCAAGAATAAAATTTAGGATAACTCACTGAAAAAGTTAATGTTTCTTTTTTGTCCGTAAAGAAAACGTGGTTTTTAAATTATTTTTTTCATTTGTTTAATTTTATACTGTTTTTTATTTATATGCTGTGAGTTTGCGAATCGCGACGTCTATCACTAACGCGCACAAATAATGCATTTAAAAAGATGCATGGCTCTTATTTCCCAATACATTCTACAATAAATGTAGAATGACCCTAACTGTACGTGGTGTTGACCTGAAATTTAGCCTGGACAAACTGAATAAGGATGATACAAGGAAAAACAGAAATTGTTACAAAATATCACTCATTTTTTCAAAACTTTTCACATTGCATCTTTGGAACCTGAAGTCTGTTAAAGATTATGTGCCGGCACGCAACGCATTAAACAGCAACCCAACCACCAGAAAATAAATCTTTTGCTGGTCCGTTTCTGCGTAAAAATTGCAATTAAAGCAGCTCCGCTATTTTCGAGCGGTTCAATCGTTGGCCGTTGGTTCCACACATCGAATGCATCTGGTATCGTGGTATCAGATAAGGAATGAGGGCTATAGTACAGAAGTGAGGACAGGAAATGTGGATAGGCATGCCGGAGAAAAATTTCAAAGAAGATTCAGGATATTAAAAATTTTCATGCATTATGAGACTTCATAAAACAATAGGCAGGACGAAAGAGAAGGATGTCATACAAATGCTTTCATTCTCCATTTGAAAATAAAATTATTTTAATTCAAAAGGAATAGGACTCTTTTAAGCTACATGAGGATCCTTTTAAGCCATAACAGGATGCTTTTTAAACCAAGTGCACAATGGAAATTTCACGCTGTGATTACAAGGCGGCCTGAGTAATGAGATTCACTCACCACGACGACACTGAAGAGGAGTTTGCTCTTCAGCTCAGGAGCGTTCCTCATTTCCGTGAGCTGATCGAGGGCGTCGAGCGTTTCTACGCGAGTCTGCGTGTAGAGATTGGCGTAGCGCCGGACCAACGCAGTCGGTCTGTGGTCACCCAAAGCTAAATTGTCAAGCCGTCCGCTAAGATTGGCTTCTAGTCCAACTGACGTACGTTTGATGTTAGCTTTATTCGTTCCTTGCGGTGGGACAGTTCGCTTACGGTCAAAGTTTGTTCGTTGTTGGGCTGACGTTCTTTGATTGTCGCTATTCGTAACGTGCTCTGTAGACATTCGTCTGATGTCGAAATTGCTACCTCGCGCGGCAGGCAATCGTGTTTGTTCAAAGTTCGCCCCTGAAACGTCTGATAATTTATTGTTATCACAAATGGTAAAATTTTCATCTGCATTCCGTTTGTTTTCACATCCTGCGTCAAGTTCTTGACTTTTGAAAGTAGTTGCTGTGGACGGCAAGTGCTGTTTAATTTCGACTCTTGTACCGGTAGGAGGCTCGGCGTATATGTCTTTAGAGGAATTCTGCAGTCTTTGCTTCAAGTCTTTATTAAGATATCCTTTTGGATATTCACGACTGTAGGTCTGAGCCCAAGATTTGTTCATGTGGGAGCAGGTGGAAGTTTCTTCGACCAGATCAACTACGCTTCTACTGCGCCCGAAATCTCTTCGTGCGTTTTCTTTACGTCTGAGAAAATTGTTGCCGTGAGCTGTTAATTTTTCTTCATTAGAGTATTTGTTGGCGATATTGACTTTGTTTGGGTTTTTATTTTCGTTTTCATTAGACGAGTTTAGGTTGTTTGTGTAGGTGACCCGCACCCTCGCTGGTGCCTCGCCCAACAAGCCATTCGAGCGCTCGCTCAGCCTGATGAGATTAAGCATGAATTACAAATAATGAAAATAAATTTTTCGTAAGCAATTATCATAAAAATCTCAGGTGCAGTTCAATCGGGGTAATTGAAGAGTTGTATTCTTGATTGATTTTACTCTATAATTTACTTTAAAAATATAAATAACAGTTTTGCAATTGGGTATTTTATAATTAGTATTCGGCATTTACCACAGGAAACAGCAAGTAATATTATGGGCAGGCCGGACTTTAGAATGAGTAAAGAGCAAAGTTTTTATAATTCTCACTATTTTTTTAACCGTTCAATAATCGCTCACTTAATGTGTGAATCACCTCCACTTCTGCCAAACATTCATCAAGATCCAAATTGGTTAATGTGCATTCGGAAAAATTAATGGGCCATGTTGACCAAATTGCAGGACGCAATTTCACCGGGCCTAACTGGGTCAGGATGTCCTACTCAAGCGCAAAAAGAACATTGCTTTTTTGACAATTTAAAAGTTTGATTCAAAGTTTCACTCATTTTTCTGAGTGCGTATTGAGCAGACGATATAAACTCGCCTGTCTCTGTACTCCTTCTCCCGCTCGTGCATCAAACGGATCGTCTGCCGCGCCTGCGACAGCTCCCGCCGTAAAGCTTCCAACTCCGACTGTGAACCGCCTGTGTCTGTGTTGATATTATTAATTAATAATCAATGAAACAGTTTACTTTGTTTGTTATTAATCAAATGAAATTAAACGTGATGAATATTTTAATTTACGCAACATCATCGTTCCTAAAATCGATTGAAATCGCATTAGAAAAATCTGTCATGAATATCAAGTCTTTTGACGTAAATATTAGAAAACAAAAAAAAAATAAAATGTTAATGAAACGAACATTTAATTGAATGCCTAACTAATAATGTAATATATGGGAATATATGTTGCATTAATCGGATAATATAACGATTAAAGTAATACAAGGATGAGCATTATCACTCCGCACCCGACACAAATAGCCGAAGAACGGGCAAAATAAAGCCTCAACATCACTGGTTTACCTTGGACGCCTAAGAATTTTTTCACGCCAACTCGATGAAAAATCTTAATCAGATATCGGCAGGGATTTTAAGGAAATATTAGTCATAATTATCCCTCAGAGGTTATGTTAATCTGATCTGCTCTGGCGGCCCGAAGTTCATTTACGGTGCCTTCATTGTACGCTAACCCTGACTGAGATTCTAACCAAATAAATTCAATTAAATTAAACTGTTCAATTATTATCTGATTATATAATTACTTACCCTGTACGGATCATGAGATAATCTTTTAATAATTTAATTAAATTATACATTATTCGCGTACGGTTGATATAAATAAATTCGGCATTACACGCGGAATACTTTTTTACTAATTAAATCTTCATAAATGCGGTGGGCTAAGTTCCTTGCAAATTTATTCTTTTACAAAGTTCCTTGCAAATTTATTCTTTTTTATTTATTCTTTTGCAAATTTATTCTTTAATTGGTTCAGACAATATCTCCATATTCCGGCCGTTTTCTGTTACAGTTCGCGTATTAAAGCCTAATTCTTATCCATTAAGATGTTCCGTAACTCTGCGAATTCTCGACACCCACCTGCGAGGGTGGAGACTCCTGAAGGAGCCTCTGAGGGCGCCTTCAGGATGGACTGCGCGTCATCAGCCCCTCGGGGGTCTGAGGGCGACGGGCCCTTAGCGGCGGACTCGTGGACGCGGCCGCCGTCGCTGCCGGGCTGACTCTGCGTGTCAGACCCCACCGCGCTGCTCGCGCACGACGGTCTGGGGGTTTAATTGATTAAATAATTAATTAGATAATCATTTAATAATTATTCAATGCCTAAGACCTTAAATAATTATTCATTTATTAAGATGTAGGAATAATAAAATAATTATTTAATTATCCCCAATAATAAAGGTGTAAGACCTTAATTATTGGGGGTTAATGGGAGTTTATTCCTCCGGGCTTAATCATGTGGAGCTTGGACGTGATGGGTGCCGTGTTGGAGAGTTAATTGGAAGTGACTTGTGCCCTGCCGAGGGTTAATTGGAAGAGACTCGAGGTTAATCCTGCATGTGAAGCTTGGACGCGTTGGTTGTTGCATTTCGAACTTAAGATTGAAAATTTAATTCATTTCTATTGAAAGCTTTATTTCGCTAAGTTTTTCAAGTTTACTTCGCTAAGTTAAAAAGTAAAGCTTTGATTTTTCCTGCGTGCATAAGTAATTTTTTGTTATAATTAGTTCGAAGATATATTGCTTTCTCTCCGTTAAACGACACTTCCGAGTTACAAAGTTTATTCATTATGGTCATGGGTTGAATTGGCCCGAGTTCATGAGTTCATAGACATGAATTTATTGATGAGTGTGGGACGAGAAACTCACTTTCTTAAAGAATGTGATATCCAAAAACGATAATTACTCTGGAAAAGTATCTAATTTTCCAAAACTACAATCAAGACAACATACCTTAAGTTAACATAATTTTCTCTAAATAAAAGTAAGTGCTGCAATTGGTTCAATAAACGTTTCACAATCCAACATTCGACGTGTTACCCCCGCTATGTTTTTATTCAGCTTTACACCTAAAAACTATATTATTTTTATCGTTTACAGAATGTTCCCTTCGTCTGATTTCACTTATGTACAATGTTTAATGCGATCTTTGGAACATTGCTCTCCAGATCCATCATCTCCCACCCAGACGTTACGAGCCTCTGGGGGCCAGTTCGCTATTTTCCTATCAATTATTTAAATGATCAAATTTCCGGTTATCGAGGCGGTGTGATCTTAAACCCATGACATTAAATTCTCACCCTGATGACGTTTGCGATGAAGAAAGCGCCGACGATGAGAGCGCCGACGAAGCTATTGTCGACCCACTCATCGGCAGCGCCATTCTCGTCCCCACGTGACTTCGATCCCGCACTGTGGAATAAATTTTAAATAATCGAGAAATTCATTTATTTTCTGTAATTCATCTACAATAAATGCACCATGCCGTGTGATTGGACACTAAGAGAATATTATGTTTTTGAACCATTTTGTGTGTATTTATTATATGGTATACCTAGAAAAAAATGAGTGAAGACACAGTTGCTCCCACATAATAATAATGGCTTCTCTGGATAAAATGTTTGGATCCTAATCCAAATCTAAATTTTCAAATGTATTCTTTCCCAATTATTCAAGACAACAGTTCTAGATTAAATAGTTGCAGAAATAAATGAACATAACACACCAATAAGAACTCGACTAGGGTTCTACGACCAACAGCTGCACGACGCCATTTAATGGTTCTCGAAAGAGTTCATCGTCATCGAGCTCCAAAGTTGACATTCAATCACAATTAATGGAATAAACGAAGGTAGCAATATCGCTTCAGTTGATATCAGTAACTTGATATTAAAGCTGAATTATTCCCCTTACTGTTCGTATGTTCCATTCTAAACGATTTTTTTATCATACTTGATGAATTCATCAAGCGCGATTTGCACTGTCGATATGCAAAATTTTGAAAATTATCATGAGTAAAAATATATGAAAACTGATTACATATTTCCGCATATTTTTACTTATAACTGCATAAAAATACATTGCCTCATCTGTGGGTATGAAATCTTCCTCGTGTACATGCAACGACATTTTCAGTTGTAATTTTAGTCATTTTAATTTATCTAATTAATGAATAAAAACTAATAATGAATTATCTAATTAATGAACACTTTAATTATTATTGATTCAAATAAAAATTTAAACTTAATTATTTAATTTTTTAATTCTATTTTAATTTAGTTGTGCTTTTTTATGTTCTTTACTCATCCGCTCTCCTTAACCTCATCATGGACAGCCATGAGGGACGACAGTTCATAGCAATCCATTATTCCTCGTATATATCCTCGTATTTATTACCTGCCATCCAAGTGCTTCATGTAAATGAACCTTCACTCGTAATTACCCTAAGCTCTAATGACCCAATTACTTCAAGGTCACCGTGACACAGTCCATACGAGATACCACGTTACCGAGAGCTCCTATGCATGATCAGATGCATCTTACTCGTTTTTCAGGCTCATTACCTTCACAAGAATTTAGTATTTTAAGAATAATTTACTTGTACAGTAATTTATAAATTTATATATTTTATTTCTATTATATAAATAGAACATTTCTCGATATTCTAATTGTGTTATCTAATTATAATATAATATAATATAATATAACATAATATAATATAATATAATATTTTAATATAATATAATATTTTGCACCGTTCATAAAAACGATGGTATCTGGTTGCGGATAGTTTAGATAAATGAGATCATTTTTATGATAAGCAATTGTACTGGTGAATACTACTTAGCTTACCAGGTTAGTACTGCGTCATTACAGTCCTAGAATAATTAGTGAATACTATAGCTACTCCTATGAATCATTTGTTTTAGGTTAAATAAAATGTCGATTTGACATAATGTTAACGTGATAATGTTAACATTACGTATAGGTTTGCTTTTAATATATTTATTGCCACATACTGTGCAATTACGTTGCATGAAGATCACATTCTACAACGCACTGCCTCATATAAAAGGGTATATACTGTCTTCATTATATCTATAAAGCGATATACAGCATTCAGCTTCGACACAAACCACGTGTCGATTACTTTGCCTGCCGTATGCCACACGAGATGCTGAATTATTGCTTCACTGGAATGTTAGAGTTATGGCATTCGGGCACCGAGCGTCCATATTTAGTGTCAGCCTCAGCCTGAAGCTCATGCAGCGTCTCTTGATCCATTGAGTTTGTCATTTATAATGCAGCGCGGAGTCTTGACTAGAGAAGAGCTATCAGTGAACATAACAAAGAAAAAGGCAAACATTCTAGAGGCTACACAGCATATAATATCGGGCAACATTTAATGATAACGCAGAACATGCAGCAGTAACAAGCATAAAGCTAAGCAAAGCGAACATTTAAGACGCTAACCTAGCACCTGATATCTAGCAAAATTTATTACTAATTCTGAACATGTTTTATGCCATCAGAAGATATAAGCAAAGAACACCAGTAGTTTCTATCGATGGAGAAAATATTTGCCGACTTATTTAAGGGAAAGAAAGTGTTGAAAACTATAATCCGCCGTTCAACTATATTTAATTCTGTGCACTGCCAATTTGGCGTGCATTTCTTCAGATTTTTCTGGGAACTATAATATGCTCTATATGCTAATGAATTAATAAATAAAATATCGGACAGAAAATCATAAACTTTTTCAAGTGATTTTTTTATAAAATATGAGTGCGAGGTTAATATTTTCTTATGAGTAATGCCTGACCAAATGTAAATCTAATAAATAATTCGACCAATAATTATCAGGCAAAAAGTTTGATTATTTTTAATTTTAATTTGCGTTGGCGTCGCACAAAAAAAAAATCATACAAGCACGAATAATTTACATCAAACTAAAAATGACAATAATCCATGCAACCACCCCGTATGAACCCTACCATTAATTAATGTATTCTCCTCATCCAGGAAAACTCTTTCTTTGGGTGAATAACGTCGAGCGTCTTCTACGTGACGTTCACTGCACGCAAGCTCACTTCCGCCACTGCCTACTGAAAAACTGCTGCAATTTTCCAGGGGACAATGAAAACATCGAAAATTATTGGTGTCATTTTTCATAAAAAATGTACTTTTTTCATAATGTTCTCTGACATTTACGAAGGGTTGCTTAAGATTTTGAAATAACTTCTTGTTATGAGCATTGCAATTGTCACCGTTTCTTAGGTCAAATTTTTCACAGGTCGTTTCACTGCTTGACAATCCCGCCTTGACAGCAGAGAGCAGCACATGTTCCGTCTTGCATATAAACGTGTTATAAACTGTATCGTTGTTTTGAGATAAACGTTGATGTTTTGGCTGGAATGTCGTCTTCTCTTTTGGCGGCCTTTCATCCCCGCCGCAGGTAAAGTTATAATCCTCGAGATCAACGTAAAATTTTGATTTTTCAACATCGTTATTTTCGGAAAGAAGTATGGCTTCCTTCCAGCTCGCGGTCGTTTGAATTTCATTCCTGTCTTCTGAATTTTCGGGGGTGTCTGTACAAAGATCCAGTCTATGGCAGGCTAACTCAGCCTGGATTAAGTCCACGCCAGTCTGCGCATGTGTATGAGGCTTGCTGTATCCAGCTACTGAATTAATCGCTGGATTTTGCCACTTTTCCTGTTCTTTTCCACTTATATCACCATTAATTGAACCAATTTTCCGTGCAACTCTCGAGTTACTGAATTCATTGTTATCATTTTGCGGTTTACTTTCTGATGCACATCCTTGACTGAACCTTTCTGTGACACACAAGGGTTTTGTATCTAAGTCAACATTTGCTTCAAAACCAACTTTGCTTTGCTTGTTCCCCAGAGTTTCTTTTTCTTTTTCAAGAATCTCGATGGCTGAATAAGTTCTTCCGTTGTTTTTTGATTGCAATGTCTCACTTAGGGGCTTTCGCCCCCGAAAACTTTCTGTATTTGTTCTCCCTAAAAAACATTCCGTACTTTTTATCATGACATCCTCTATTTCACAAATGCTCTTATAGTTCATGGTCTCATCAGCGTAACTCTCTGATGGTAATTTTTTCAGAGACTCCCCATCCTTTCCAGTAAGTGGGATGAAGTCAACGCAGGAAGAGCAGCCATCCTTTTCAGGAATTATATCCTCTCCTAAAATGCCGATCTCATCTTTCTTTCGGGACCTCTCACTTCGACAGGGAAACGCACTTCCTTTGATTTCAAAACTTTGCGTTGTGTCCAAAACTGACGATGCATTTTTACGGAAATTAGACGAATTTCCGGATCCCGAATTGGTTAAGACTTCTTGCGCTTTAGTAGAGGATGATGAATTTTGAGAATTGTCTTTGATATTTATTCTGACTTCCTTATTCCTTCCTTTCAACGCACTCAGATCACGCGCATAGAAATGTTTCGCTCTAAATTCTTCATTCGTATTTGAATTTGTGAGGCCAAGTGAAGCCTCATGAATTTGTCTACCATTAATAATTTTTTTCTTATATCGTAATTTTCGATTAGATTTATGCAAATTTGGTCGTCTTGAGCCTGCTACTCGTCTCTCAGGCGCTGGAGGTGCGGTTCTTGTTGGAATCAAACGTGGCCGATTGCTTCTTTTGGAACGCACGTCTGCCCCCATACAGTTGTTCATGCAAGAAACTGCTTCATATGGAGGTGGAGGAGATTCATTTATCATGAAATTATCATCGTCCTTAGCGAGGTTTTCAATAGAAACAGAAACAACCGAAAATCTCGCAGGATTTCCCCCTCCGCGAGAGTTTCTCCGAAATGTAGTCCTGTCGCTGGGATGGATGTTCCTTGATATCCTTGCGCTCATAAACCGACGGCGCAACGAGACTACGGGTGCAGGAAGACGAAAATTCAAACCTTGAACAAAATGTGGCAGTGGCATGTTGCTTTGTGATCAAGAAAAATAATTTTTACTGCCAAGGATTATTCTCACCACACATTCATTAATTAAAAGACGAACTTTTTCCTTCTTCGCAAATTATGCGTCGTTGGTTACAATCAATCCAGCACATGCTCGTCATTATCATTTAAGGTAAGTTTGACTTCTATTCAATACATTTGTATCAACTATCAACCAATGACTTTAAGATGATATATTTCAAGTTTCACCGTAAGTAGTCTCGCATCATACGTGCATTAAGGTAAGTGGTATATTGATTCAAAATAAGGCACTAACGTATTAAAAATCGCAGTCCGTTTGCAGACCAGCGGCTCCTCTATATTGCCTGTTCCTGACGCAAAACGCAGAACTATTTTTTGCGAACCGTCGGCTCGTTTCCGCCTAATTAAGCGAATGATCGCGAACGGCTACGGTCCTCCGACAAGCGCAGG